CCCCCCCAGGGGGATGGCCATACCACAATCCCTTCTCCTCCATTCTCCTCTGGGTATCTTGGGCACACACGCACATGTGTCTGGCATGAGTTTAAGCCACCGGGTCTGGATCTCAAACCACAGTCGACTACATAGGAGTTCAGAGACATAGCCATTATGCTAACTGCTGATCCCTCTCAGAAGTCTTTGTTAAAGCTGGAGTTGATTGGGAACAGTACATGGCATAATGGTTAAGTCAATGGACTCCCACATAGTTGGTGATTTGAGTCCTGGACCCAGCAGTTTAAAACTCAGGCCAGGCACACATGTATGTATGTGCATCCAAAAATTCCAGGAGAATGGAGGAGAAGGGATTGTGGCATGGCCATCCCTTCTCTCTGTCTCTCTCTCTCTGGCAAGCACACACACCCCATAGCAAAAATCTCTCTTAAAAAAAAAAGCTAGAGTTGATTATCATATAAGTAGTCTTCAAAAAGTTTATAGAAAAGTGAAATTAAAGTACAAGTTTACTGTCATACAAAATAATTGAAATCTGTGCAGTTTTTTATAAACTTTTTTGAAGACTCCTTCATATTAAGGAGAGGTGACTTACACTCAAATAAAATAGCGGGGTCTAAAGTCCAAAGCATTTCCCAATCGCTCTTCAAAAGAACTGGCAAGTTTTAGGTATTATCTTTAGCTGTGGCTTTCCCTATATATCTATACTTTTATATTAGAGTGATTTTTAGACAGGAAGTTTTCTACTCTGTAATTAGCAGTTCACAATGGAAGCTTTGACACTTAATTACAGCATTGCTAAGACAATAATAATGAGAGAAATACTAAAACCAAATGCAGGCTTTCTGACACACCTCTGGCTACCTTCTTATTGGCTGAGAAACAATTATATATGACTAGTAAATAATCCATATAGACATGAATGTGCGTGAACAAAGGCAGCCTGCACTTATGACAGGTCCTTCTCGTTAGGCCACGTTCAGTTGCTGTTGCTGACTTGGACTAAAACGTTATGGGCAGCAGGGGAGACCATCATCAGAGATTGCTCTAGAGTCAAAGAGCTCCACGTTCTGCATCTTGGCATCTTCTCCTATTTTCATCAGAGCAGTCTTCCAAGTGGAGGCAATGGCATTCTATCCTCTGCAAATCGCTGGTCTGGTTCTTGGGTTCCTTGGCATGGTTGGAACTCTTGCCACAACACTTTTGCCTCAGTGGAGAGTATCAGCGTTTGTCGGCAGCAACATTATTGTCTTCGAAAAGCTCTGGGAAGGGCTGTGGATGAACTGTATCCGACAAGCCAAGGTGAGGCTGCAGTGCAAGTTCTACAGCTCCTTGTTGGCTCTCCCGCCAGCCCTGGAGGCAGCCCGAGCACTCATGTGTGTGGCAGTTGCCCTTTCCTTGATTGCCCTCCTTATTGGCATCTGTGGCATGAAACAGATCCAGTGCACAGGCTCTAGCCAGAGAGTCAAAGCCTACCTTTTGGGAACCTCGGGAGTCCTCTTCATTCTGACGGGCATCTTTGTTCTGATTCCAGTGTGCTGGACAGCCAATATCATCATCAGGGACTTCTACAACCCAGCCATCCACGTGGGTCAGAAACGAGAGCTGGGAGCAGCATTGTTCCTTGGCTGGGCAAGTGCTGCTGTCCTCTTCATCGGAGGGGGTCTGCTCTGTGGGTTCTGCTGCTGCAACAGAAAGAGGCAAAGACACAGCTATCCAGCCCCTAGCTACCATGTGCCACGCACAGAAAAGCGAAGGAACATGACAATGCTTAGTAAGACCTCTACCAGTTACGTCTAACACCTCTTTCAGCTCCAACTATGGATTATGGTCAATGTACTTTACAAAGTCCTGCAAAAAAACTGTAAGTACACAAGGCAGGAGAACTTGCTTTATGATGGGAAGAAAACTGAAATGAAAAATTCAATTTGTCACCTTAGGTATATTAAATGCATTTACTATTGTTGAACTTAATTGCCATTTAAATTAGTATGTTGTAAAATCAAGTTTATCTGTCATCGTGTCATCCTTAGCAGATACACAATGATGGATTTTTTTTTTTTTTAAATTCTGCCATAGAGTGCATGCACTTGTCAGAGAGAGGTAGAGAGAGGGAAAGTGAGAAATCATCTCCCAGGGGGATGGGTCACATACAATTCCTTTTCCTCCTTTTTCCTCTTGGGATTTGGGGTTACACTCACACATGCCTGGCATGATTTTTAGGCTGCTGGGTCTGGGGCTCAAACCATGGAGTCCAGCACCTTAATCACCATGCCACCTGCTGGCCCTGGGCTACTCTCTTATAAACATCACATGTTATCTGATAAGCAATCTAAAATTGCAATTGATAATCCAGAACAATTAAACATGTTACTATGTTATTTTTCTTCCAAATTGTTTCTTGTACGATACAGGGAAAGCTAAATGGTGCCTGCTTTTTTGTATGTTTGTTTTTGTTTTGTTTTGTTTTTTAAGAAATTATTCTGAAAAACTATAGGTATCAAATGATTTTTAGTTGAGTTGTCAAAATATGAAAATGTCCATCCAATGAGAACTTTGCTATTCATTTAGGAAGTTGAAATACACTAAGACTTAAATAACTATTAGGGAAAATGGAGCTCTAATTTCTCTTAGGACACTTAAGAAGATGGATTTTAAAATCTCTAATTTATCTAGTTAAACTTGCTAAGAATTGTATATTTAAAGGTACATAATTTTTTTTTTTTTTGAAGAGGTTTTTGCTACAGGGCGCGTGCGCTCGCCAGACAGAGAGAGACAGAGAGACAGAAAGCGAGAAATCACCCCCCAGGGGGGATGGCCACGCTGCAGTCCCTTTTCCTCCATTCTCCTCTTGGGATCTTGGGCACACATGCACACATGCCTGGCTTGAGTTTAAGCCACCGGGTCCAGGACACGAACCTCTGGACATGGGAGTCCATCAACATAGCAATTATGCTAACTGCTGGTCCCAGGTAAATAATTTATAAATGAAAAAGTATATTAACAAACAAATAGAAGAAATCCATATTAATAAAGCAAATTGACAGAAGGCCATTAACACTCAGTTCTCATCAAGAGGATATATGGTCCTGATTAGAGAATTGAGGTTTGGGTGCTGACGGAAATTGTTTGTTTCCTGTTTTATTTTTAATCATTGTATAGATCTAAAATGAAAATTCAAGATAATGATTCAGGCAATTATGCTAAAATAAATACCTCTTTTTCAATTTTTAGTAAGCAAATAGGCAAAAGCATTTAACTTTACTTAAATTGTATGTATTGTTTTCTGAGTTCTCCACCTCTCATGTGTACATACCAATATCAGAGTTTAAAGTGGGGTGGAAGAGGGTAAAAATGGTGAGGCAAGAACAATCATATGGGTTGCTTCTAAAATGGCTCCAATATCTTGTGTATTAATCAAAGTTTATGTATTTAATCTTAATTCTTCAAATGCTGTGTTTATTTTGTAATAAAAACATTTAATGTTCAGCACATAACTGCAATGAAAAGATTGAATTTGCTCACTAAATATTTATTGTATGTTCATCTTTATTATACTAAAATAATAAAATAAGATGGGTATAAATTACAATAATGTTGTATTTAACTGTGGGGTCAATTTGAAAATGAATTCCTGTCCTAAAAGATTACCTGAAAACACTGAGCCATTAAATCGGTGGTAACTCAAGACTAGATGTTGACATTAAGCCCTCACTCCCTTCTATACACCCCTGGCAAGGTGTCCATAAGCCAAACCCTTGCTAACATAAAGCCGTATTAAAAACATCAACAATACAAATAAGGACCACATAAATGTAAATATCCTCAAATAATATCAAGAAAAATGAGAAAAATGATTATTTAGATGACTTTTTCTTAACTTTATGTTTGTTTTCAGACTTAATTGAGAAAAGCCTAATAGATGTGTTAAAAAGGGATCATTTATTTTATACAGTCAAATGAGTAAGCTATCAAGACAAACAAGATTTGAGATTAAAAGTTGTCACAGACTCATTCATCTTGCCTTTGGCTCACCTAATTAGTCTTGCTAGGATGAGTTCCTCAGTCTACATGAGGCATACAATTCTGCTAGCCCTAAGATCAAAGAGTAAAAAGGTATAACACAGTGTGGAGTTATAAGATAACATTAGGTGTTGAACACGGTGCAAAAAGTCAGGAACTAAAAATTCTGTTGCTGGCTCATTTATTAATTAAGATGAACTTTGGAAAAATAATTTCTATGTCTTCTACTGTGCTAAAATATTTTTCCCACTGCACTGAAAGCAAATTTTAGTAATTTTCAATACATTTAAAAATACATTTTGAATACAAATCTCATATCCCAAACATAGATGTGTAAGAAATATGTCTTTACCTAATTTTAATTTTATTAAATACTTTTTCTTCTTTTTAAAAAATAATTATTTATTATTATTATTAGTATTAATTTTGCTATAGGGAACATGTGCTCACCAGAGAGAGAGAGAGAGAAGGAAAGTGAGAAAGCAAGCCATCAAGTCTGGGACTCATCTTACAGTTCACCACATGGGAACCCAGCACCTTAATCGCCACAGTGGAGCATGGACACACCAAAATCTATTCTCTTCCATTCCCCCTTTCCATCAGATTTTGGTCATGCATGCACTCCTGCCTGGTGTGTTTTTCAAGCTGCTAGGGGTGGAACCTTAACAGTCAGCCATGTGGGATCCAGTACCTTAAATGTTAAGCTACAAGGCCAGCCCTCTCTATTTATTTCTAAAACTTAAAATTCAACTTCTTGAGTACTTTCCTACATATTATTTTACGTAGTTCATGGGATTTTATGAAAGGCTAATCAGCATTCAGAAAGTTGGGTTCAGAGAGTCAGCTCACAATCCTCAGTCCGCACAGGTAACAGGTATTTATTGTATCTACCCACATGGTCTTTTTCGGCTTCCCAGTCCAATCAATTCTCTGTCATGCTTGGCCATTATTTTTGAGACTCTCTTGTTTTGGGTTACTAGAACCAGTGTATTTCAACCCTAGTTCCATATTAGAATTGCTTGAGGAGCCGAGAATGCCAACACAGACAGTGTTGTGATGATCTATGGCACTATATCCCAGAGTCACAGTGAGAAATCTGACTTATGGTCCTGATCATCAACTGTCCACAAGCAATGATAGAGAAATCATGGATAGCCTTATAACATTTTTAAAATGTTACACCACAATCTGTCTTCTCCTCTTCCATTGTCAGAAACGTTGTATGATTTCATAAAGGCTTTCAGAAGAAAAAGTGCATAAAGACTGAACTCTTCTGACTACTTTTGCCCTCAGTCTTGCTGTATACTCAGTGAAATGCATTCTGACTACGAGTGAAAGAGGGAAACATAAGGAGAAAAAAAAAAAAACTAATATCATGTAATATAATCTAACCATCCATGTTTGAAGATACTTTAAAGAGTACTTTATTTGTAGTTACCAAATTTAAATACCCACTAGCAATCTTTTCAATTTGCAGAAAAATTTTTTAAAGAATTATTTTATTTATCTTTATTTTATTTATTTTATTTTAACTTGACCAGAAAGGGACAGAGTGAGAGAGAGGAGAGAGAGAGAGAGAGAGAGAGAAAGTGAGAAAGCAAGCCACTAGGTCTGGGACTCTAAAAGCTGTCAGCCATTTGGGAGCCCAGTGCCCTTAACCACCCCGCCACCTGCCGGCCGGGCAGGAAATCTTGATATGTTTAGAAGTACTTTGTCAAGTTCTTTCACTCTTCACAACCACCATATAATATGGAGTATAGATGTCATCACCAACAAATTTTCCCTGAAAGAATGGAAACTTACAGGGGTATAAAACATGGCCAAGTGACGTAGCTAACATGGGGAAATCAAGAATTCAGCAGCAGTACTAAGTCCAGATTTAATAAATACTTGAAGGGTAATCGTATCCAGTCAGCACAACAGTTTGAAGTTTTAGCTAATATAGATTCCTTCTTCCCCCAGGGAAGAAATGAAAGTACAGAACTCCAAAATATAAGGACATTTCTTCATCTTTGAGTCTGATATACACAAACTCTGAGGAGACTGAAAGCAAAGAACAACACAGCTGAATAAAGGCTGATTTTCCTCACTGAAATGATAAACTGATGTCCTTGGATGAAGGTAAAATAGTAAGGAGCAGAGTTTAGAGAATCTAGCTATCAGTGTGTCTCTGGGAGGACCTCCCTCCAGTTCCTAAAGCCTGAGGTTTAGGAAAAAAATAAACCCTTGGATGGGTTAGAGAAAGCAAGGGCAGTGTGACCCAGGTGGACGGAGGATGTCCAGAGAGTTTTTCTTGAGACCTTATGGCACAGGAAGATAAGAGACATCTCTGTGTTGTATTGTTGTATGTAGTCTGATAGCTTAGGAAATGATCTTGTCCAATTTCCCATAGCTAGAGCATCGTGGGAACAGAAGAATATTTTCTACTCACTCAAGAATGGCAGAGAGCATCTCCAGATTCATGAAGGTCTCAACATACATCAGACCAAGGGAGAACACAGCAGTGGTGCACATGGGCAGATAAGTGGCCCACACATGGCCTGTTAGTCCTCAGCTCTGTCCCTTGCCTTTCCTCTGCTACAATCCGTAGCCTATGAAGATGGATGTCCGCAGGATGTGTGCTGATTTTCCAAGAGGTGGAATGATGGTAATGCAACCACACCCACATGGAAAAGGCCCTGGGTTCCTCTCCTGGGACCTCTCTGAGTGCACACATGTGCCAATGGTCTGGGCTGGTTGAGCCTGGGGTTGAATCACCATGAAGTGACCGAGTAGCA